TTGCATCTACAACATTTTCAAGTATTATCATATATAAAGGGTTGGACTACTTTTAAGAATTCCAATGTAGGTAACTGTTCTGATAGGAATTTTAATCTTCTATAATGTGTTCTTGATTCTTTAAAAGAGATTATTGTGAGGGAACCTAGTTTGATGAGTTGAAAGATTAGATGATAGTTGATTTTCAAGTTTGTGTATTTTTTGTTTCGTTTTAAAGAGTAAAAGTCAATAAAGTATTTTATTTGTGAGAAGTCTTTAATTAAAAGACAAAAGGCTATATTAATAGGCATGTTTTTAAAAAGAGGAATGTATTGAAAGTATGGAATATGATCAAAGGTAAAGGAGAGGAAAACAGAATGTAAGGAGGATTTAGCTAATTGATCAACTTTGTTATTGTGCAGATCATCAGAATGTGCAGTAACCTTGGTAAGGGATAGTATAATGTTTCTTTCTTCTAGTATTTTAAAGATAATGGATCAATAAATATTAAAAGGAAGTTTTAACATCAAAGAAGGGTACATGAAAGCGTTTTGTCATTGGATTTTATTAAAGAAGTAGATAAGAGACAAACTATCTGTGCATACGTTTAACTCTAAATTATGAGAACAAATAAAAAGAACTAGAAGCAATGCAAAAATTTCAGCATTGGTAAAGTTTGACCAGTAGTTGGGTATTGCAATGAAAAATTCTATGTTTAAATTATCGTAAACTATAAGAAAAGCAAAACTAAGGTAGGAAACAGGATCAGTATGATCAGGTAAAAATCTATGTGAACTATCTGTATAAAATGTCAGGGATTGTTCGTATTTTAAACTATCTTTGAAAGTATTAAGTACTGTACAAGTAACTGGTGAAGTAAAAAAGATTTCTATAGTAATATATGAAGGTGTATTGAGCGATAATTTATAAGGAATAAGGGGATCAGAACGAACTCTTTTGTAGTATTTAATAGTATGATCAGATACTGCTTTTATATTTTTCTTCAAAAGATAAAGCTTTTCAGAATTAACCGAAGAAAAGTAGATAATACCAATGATTTGAAGTAGGTCAATTTCAATAAAATTTCTACATTTAATTGATCTGAATGTATAAGAACAGATAGTACTATGATCAATGTTGAAAGAGCAACCAGAACATTCGACAAAAGTATTTTATTTTTTGATGGGAATCTAGAATCATTGGTATAGTTCTCTGGTATGAAATGTTGGAATATAATTTTGTCTTGTAATTTTTTGTTCTTGTAAGATTTTCTAAATATAGTTTGACCAGAATAAGGCAAATTGTAGTAGTTAAAATCTGGTGGGATTCAGAGTGACGCTCAGTCGACCATTAAATTTGAATCTAATGGAGAAAATAATTTGTTTTCTGTTGGGCTAAAATTATTAATAACATATTGGTCTATGAGTCTGTTTGAATGCATAGGATTATTAAGCACCAAACGTTATAAGAGCGTGAACCATTTTAGATTTGTATTTCTAAGGTGATTACCTAAGTTTTATTTGAGAGAAAGGTCCTTCAATTTTATTAAGAAATGACCATCACTGATTAATTAGTCTAAGAAGAGTAACTGTTTGGTTCTAAATAAGCTATTCCAATTTTTCCTCTAAAGTAAGAGTGATTGAAGTGGAGTATTTTCTCCTTTAATTTTAAATATTGTTAAACTGTTTACTGTTCTATAAAAAGAAAATGAGCTTTGTAAATACAATAAAATAACGTTTTCTATGAAGTTATTATATTTAATATTGTTAAGTTGTTTAGGCCAACACGTTAAAAGATCATTATGTAACCAAAAATATTCTTGGAGCTGTTTCAGTCTAATGTTAGCAGTTATAGTAAGCAGTAAGTTTTTTGGATTTCCATTAATCATAATGGCGAAATGTTGTAATTTGGATTGAATCATAAGGTCAGACAGGTCATTGAATCCAAAGAAAAGGCTACTAAATAGAATGCTATTAGGTGTTGATTTTGGAAAACAGAGTTTGTTTTTATGAATGATCTGAGTTTGGTGAACAGTGAACTACATTCATTATTGAAAAAGACAATAAGTTTGGCTCTGTATTCTAGTTAAGAAATAAGAACTATATTATAGATATACTTGAATTATTTGTTAGTTAATGGTTTATATTTCAATTTGAGTATAAAATTTGATATCTTATTTGCCAATTGTTGTTTAATGAAATTTTTGTTGTAAGAGGCAGATATCCATACACCTAGATATCTTATTGATTCAGAAGGTAATTTTGTTGAAAAAATGATATGCGTGTTGAGATAGTTACTGTAAATAGAAATATTGACTGTTGTAGACTCAGATATAATGATAAAGGATTTATCATGGTTTACTTTCATGAAATTAAGGTCAAAAAAAGATTGAGCCAGATCAAAAATTAATGTGAGTTTTTCAATGCTATCAGAGATCCAAATCGTATTGTTTATGTATACTGGATTTGGAATTGAAACAGATAGTTCTTTGATTTCATTATCAGTTATGTCCGGTTTCCATTTACTACTCATATTATATCCATAATTAAGTTGTTAAATTCTTGATAGAAGGGAATCATAATAAATAACCTATAAGAGTGGGAAGATCACTTCACTTAGTCAATACCTACTATCACGTTATAAGAATCAGTATTACCATAAGCTGTAAAGACTGAGTTACTTCTGTTGAGAAAGAGATTAGTGATTATGTTAATGAAAGAAGAAGGGATACACAAACGTGCCATAGCTTTTCTGAGCATAAAATATTAATACGGTCATAAGCTTTGGACATATCTTAAAAAAGCATATATAAATGATTTCGATTTTGATTTTGTAATTTTTTGTTAAGACAATGAAATTCAAGAATATTATTCACAATATAAAGTGGTTCGAGGGTTAATTGATGAGGTAAACTTGCAAAATTAAGACCTTTGATAATATTGTGTTTAATAAATGTATCTTGAAGACGTTGATTTAGGAGTTTAACAAATGCTTTTCTAATAGTATCTAATAAAGTAATTGGTCTAGTGTTATCAAGATCACAGTTTCATGGTTTTGGTTTAGGAATAGGATATATATATATTAAATTCTACTGGAAAGGTGTGTTTGAGCTGATTAGATAACCACAAATAATATTATACAGAAAGTTGTTCATTTTAGGGCCAAGCTTTTTCAACATTTCATTAGAAATTTGCGAAAGACCAGCAGCTTTATGATCAGGAAGATGTTTGATAATGGTATGCCATTCATCAATTGAAGGAAGTGTAATCAGGTCATTATAGATGTTACTATCGATGTCATCAATTGGATTATAAAAGGATTGCACGTCATTCCACGTGGGATTGAAGTCAAAGGTCATATTATCAGTAACTTTTCTATTACAAGAACCTGCTACTGTCTGAAAGTGATTAGCTATATATTTCTTGATGTTTTCTGATGACAATTTTAAATATTGATCAGAAGAGTTTTTATTGATGAGAAGGCGATCTATTATAATAGCTTTTCTGTCTCTTTCTAGATATGAATCAATCATTTTAGTTGAAGCATCTTTCAAGTTATTGTTTCTTTATTTAAAAAATTGAAGTATACGTTCGTTATTTTCTTGTCTAGATATGATTTGTTGTTTTGCTTGAATGGACTTGATGATGTCATGTTTTAATTCATTCATATATATAACTAACTCTTCATTATCGAAATGGTTATCAATTAAAGTGGTTGACAGTGAGTAATATCTAGCTATCTTTATGAGGTTTTGATGTTCAGTACTTGTAAGTGAAAAAATTGACGGGTTGTTATTATGGTTAGTGTCAAGGGATTTTTTCAATTTGTAATAATATTTATAGAGTGACTTAATATGTCTATGAATAGAAGAGTTAGCATAGGTATATAATGATTTGTGTTGGTGAGTAGTTGTTTGTTTTGGAATATGTTTTTTGCAGAGATAATGACAATATGAGAAAAGAATTTCCAGGTGACATTTAATGAGTTTAGAGAAATAGCAATATCCTCAATTGTGCAATTTGCATAAAGTGGGTTTGATTTTAAAAGTAGGTCAGCCTTATCTGAGAAAAGATCTCAGTGTATAAATGTAGTCTTATGATACATAAATGTTTATTTTGTGATTTTGTGTTGTTTAAGGTATGCATTAGAACATTGATTAAAAAATTTTTTTTTAAAAATAGTGATAGAAAGGGTAAATTATTAGAGGAGTATAAAAAGGATGAATCATTGAGAATATTGAAAGATGAAAGGTCATGTGCAAGGTTAGAAGATAGAAATATATAATCTAAGTATGAGTAACATGAATTTGAGGTGGATTTAAAAGTGGTCGGGTATAATGACAAAAAAGAAGAAATAGTATGAATAAATCCTAGATTAATAATTTGATGAAGATAGTTTTGTAACACTCTTTAGCATTTAGAACGATAATTTTTTAAAATGTTAATGTTAAAATCTCCCATTAAAATAACGTGAAATTATTTCTGCGACTCTGTATTAATATATCCATTAGCTTGTTTTGAATTTGTATTCTATAATTGAAAGATTTTTTGTCTCTATAGGTAGCTGGTAGATAGACTTGAATAATTCAAAGTTTGAATTTCTTTCTGAATTGGAGATCAATATATAGTATTCTATCATAAAATGATCTCTGGTTAAAAATATGTCTGCATAAATTGTTTTTAATAATTAGTCCTACTCTCTAACAGTTAAAATCTCTATTTGCACTATGAAAGAAAAATTTGTACTGTTTGTTGTGACTATTTTTGTTGAGAAAATGAGCTTGATTATATGTGAGATGAGTTTCACTAAGTCCCATTATGTCAAAATTTAAGTTTGTAAAAAGGTTTCTATTTGTTGTAACTTGTTATCAACAGAACAGTTTCTAATATTATGGGTAACAATGGAATGAAAGTTTGGATTATTATGTAACAAAGAGGAAGAGGCATTTGTATTATAATTATTATTATTAGTAGGATACGATGAAGTCGTTTCTATAATATTATATGATTTATTATTATTAATCATTGAGATGAGTTAGTCATAGGTAAAGCTTGGCGTAATGCTAATGAGATTGATTTAAGTTCAGATCTGAGATTTCTAAGTTTATGTTCAACCTGTGTGATACGTGAAATGACAATTTTGTCTTTTTGTAGTATTCCAATATTATCAATATTAGTGTTTTAGACGGTATCTTTAGGTTTATCTGCTATCAAAGGTTGTTTATTATTTGTAAGTGTGTTTTTAGGTATATGTTGGATTTGTTCGTCACCTATGTCCATTAATAGTTCTTCATTTTCATCATCAGGAATCTGAGTAAATATCTTAAGTCTAGAAAGATGGTAGTCAATGTCGTCTTGATTATGATGTTGTTGGAGAACTTTATTTTTAATAGAAATAATTTCATCTGAAAGAAATACAAGTTTGTTATCAATGTCATCTATTCTGGCTATTAAAGAGTGAATAGCATCGACTGTATTAGAAGAATTATTGAAGTTTCTGTTGGTATTTCCTTTGAAAGGTGATGATGTATTGTTAATATTTGGCTTAGATTTAATAGCATCAGCATAAGAGAAATTATTCTGAAATTTTGAATTTTGACGAGGACGAGAAGGTCTATATTGTTCAGGTTTAAAGTATTTGTAAAGAGGCTTATAAGGATTAGTAGGGCCTCTTTTTAAACAATTTTTGATTTCGTGATCAGGTGATTCATATTTTCTACAATGTTTATCAGCAAGGTCTATCCAGTATAAAACATTTCCTTTAAATTTGTGATGTTGAGCGGCAGTAGCGTCTAAATCTTCTGTGGTAGCAAAATTAACGAATACATAAGGTCTTAATCAATATTGTTGATCTCTTAGAATGAAGTATGATTTAGCTTTAATTTGAGTTAAAGATTCTTGTAAGGAACATTGATCAGTATTTAATGGGAGTCTAGTAAGTTTAAGCTCAAATTATTGACGTAATGTGATTTGCATTGGATCAAGGTCAGTAGGTTCTATTCTTAAAGCGAATTCTAAAAGGAAACAGACCAAGTTTTATTATAAAATTATTTGATATCGTCATTATTTTCGTATACAATAAATGCAATCTGCCAGGATCCCTAACAATTATAGAAAAATGAGTGATCGTTCCAAATTTAGTAAAGAAATTTCATATGATTTAAGACTTAAAAAAAAGGGAAATGTCTGATACTTTGATGGTGCGACCTTTTTCTGCATCTAATTTTAGTTGTTTGGCATTAGGATCAGCAACTAGGAAAACTGGATTATGTTGTATCTCCTGTACTTTTGTAACAGCATGTGTTAAGTTTTCTAAACTGTCAAAATAAATGATAAATTTTCTATTTTTGGAAAGATAGTTTGATCCTTGGAAACCATTAAAGTGAATAAAAAGTGCATTGATGAAATTTCATTTTTCAGTGACAGATTTTTCTTTTATATCTGCCGTGTTATCAGTGACGTAAAATCTAGTAGATGTAGTAATAATATTGAATTATTGATCATTTGCGTTCTTGCTATTGAAAGTAGAAGCTTCAGCTTCGTCTATTTCATCTAACCAAGTTTGTTTGCTTTTTCCTTTAGAAGTAGAAAAAATTTTCGTTAATTTTGATTCATCAGTATTGTTTATTTGTTTTGCAGTATAGAGTCTTTTGCAATATAGAGAGGAATATTTTATACTTTTTCTGTAGAGTTAGAAGTCAAGAAAGCTATATTATCTATTTTTATATCAAAAGTATTAATTGTATTGTCTTATTCAGTGTTAGAAAGTGTTTGGTTATTATTGTCAGTAGATAGGATAATGTTTTCAATGACTTTGTTAATAACTTTTGAGGAAGAAATTTCCATAGTTTCAGTAGTTGTTTTTTGTTTTTTATTATTTGTAAAGAAAGTTTCTAATAAAGTTTGTTTGCTTATTTTTACGAGAGAGCTAGTAAAATGTCTGGCATTGTTTTTTTGTTGAACTCTTTTGTTATTTTTTAGAATGTAAGAAGTTTTTTTTAAAATAATTATTTGCTCTGATTTCTGGCATAATAGCTGTAGGTGAAAGTTAGTGTTGATCATTTCATTCCAAACTAATTACACAATCCAGAGATATTTGAGAAAAACTGAAAGCAATTATTTTGAGATTTATTACAGAAAAATTTCAAGCATATGTGAATATCAGAACTGATGCAAAAGGAACTGTCCATAAAGTAATGATGATAAACACTAATTTTATTATTTGGAAACCTAAAGAAGTGAGAAAACTATATATTAATATGTTAGAAAATGAAATAGTTTTGAGTGTTGGTAAAAACTAAAAAAAGATTTATCATAATAAACTTTAAATGTGAATATCTTGACATTCACCAGTCCTCTACCTTTCAAACTTGATATACAGATTTAATAAATTCTGCTTTTTCAAATAAAACTAAAACCATTCTGATCTAATCATTTTTTTAGATATAGTAATACTTTTATTTATTAAGTATAATAATTCAGTAAAAATATACATGAAAATCCTCTAAGGAGGTACAAAAGTAGAAAAATAAAAAAAGCTGCCTAATAAAATAAAAAGTTTGAAATCCAAATTTTATCAAACTAACCAGTTATCCATTAGGTTTCAATAATAATCACTAGTAGGATTACCATTACCACCTAATTAATAGAAATAAAACATATAATAAATAGTTATTATTGAGTAAGAAAGAATGGTCAATAACAATTGTATATGTAATAGTTTTTAATTAAAGATAAATGATCACACTATGGATAGTTAAAAGAGAATGAAATATTAGTAAAACTATTTTTAGAAAAATGGTTAGAGAAAGCGTATACTTCCTTCTTTTTACTATATTATGAAATGTTTAAAGAATGCTCTTTAGCAACTGTCAATTCACATTTTGATTTCTATACAATATCATAAGTTTGATCAAAAAGAAAATCATAAAAGAGGATATTATAGTAGTTATAAGGGTAGAGGAATTTGTAAAAGAGTCAATAAGTTTTGAGAAAAAAGAAGAAACAATGCCTTTAATAAAGTCTATAATAGTAATATTATAAGGATCAGCTTTTAACATCCAAAAGGGGTTAGAAGGAAGAAAAAGAGCAGAGACTTCAGGAGAAAAATCAGATTAAGAGGTATGAATGAAAAGTTGTATTTTTAGATAAGATAGTAGGTTGGTAATAATGTTTTCTATTAGTGGTATTATTATAGGGTATAATCATATATGATTGAAAGTTTCATTTGATATATTGCATCTATAATATTTTCAAGTATTGTCATATAAAGAAGATTATATAGCTTTTAAAAATTCTAGTGTGAACAGCTATTCTGATAGGAATTTTAATCTTCTACAATGTGTTTATGACTCTTTAAATGAGATTATTATATAAGAATCTAGTTTGAAAAGTTAAAAAGTTAGATAATAGTTAATTTCTAAGTTTGTGTATTTTTTGTTTCATTTTAATGAGTAAAAATCAATAAAGTGTTTCATTTGTAAGAAGTTTTTAATAAGAGAATGAAAAGCTGTATTAATAGGTATATGTTTAAAGAAAGAAATGTATTGAAAGTATGAAATGTGATCAAAGGTAGGAAGAGGGGTAGAATATAAGAAAAATTTGACTAGTTGAACAACTTTGTTATTATGCAATTTATCAGAGTATGTGGTAATCTTGATAAGAGATAGTGTTATATTTCTTTCTTCTAAGATTTTAAAAATAATAAACCAATAAATATTGAAAGAAAGTTTTAACATTAAAGAAGGGTACATGAAAGCGTTTTATTGTTGAATTTTATTAAAAAAGTAAATAAGGAATAAACTATCTGTGCATATATTTAAATCTAAGTTATGAAAACAAATAAAAGGAACTAAAAGCAATAAAAAATTTAGACATTAGTAGAGTTTGACTAGTAATTGGATATGACAGTAGAAAATTTTATATCAAAATTTTTATAAACTAAAAGAAAAGCAAAACTAAGATAAGAAATAGAATCAGTATGATCAGGTAAAAATCTATATGAACTATCTATATAAAATGTTAAGGAACTCTCATATTTTAATTTATCTTTAAAGAAATTAAGTATTATGCAGGTGACTGATAAAGTAATAAAGGCATCTATAGTAATATATATTGGGGTATTAAGTAATTATTTATAAGAAATAAAAGGATCAGGATGAATTCTTTTATAGTATTCTATAGTTTGATCAGATACTGCTTTTATATTCTTTTTCAAAAGATAAAGCTTTTTGGAATTGATAGAGAAAAAATAAGTAATACTGATAAATTGAGGTAGAGTTATTTCTATGATGTTACTACATTAAATCAATCTGGATGTATATGAGCGGATAATATTACGGTCAGTATTGAAAGAGCAACCAGAATATTCAATAAAAGTATTCTACTTTTTTGATAAAGATTTAGGATCGTTAATATAATTTTCTGATATGTAATGTTAAAATATAATTTTGTCTTGTAATTTTTTGTTTTTATAAGATTTTCCAAATATAGTTTGACTAGAGTAAGGCAAATTATAGTAGTTATAATCTGAAAGGATCTAAAGCGATACCTAGTTAACCATTAAAGCTAAGTCCAGTAGAGAAGATGATTTGTGTCCTGTTAGAATAAAATTATTTATGACATATTAATTTTTGAGTCTATTCGAATGCATAGGATTAATAAGTACCAAATGTTGTAAGATTATAAACTATTTTGAATGTATATTTTCAAGGTGATTATTAAGGTTTTGTTTGAAAGAAAGGTTATTTAATTTGATTAAGAAGTATCTGTCATAAATTAATTAATCTAAAAATAGTAGCTGTTTAGTTTTAAATGAGCTGATCCAATTTTTTTTCTAAGGTAAGATTGATTAAAGTAGAATGTCACCTCCTTTAATTTTAAAGATATCTGATATGTTTGTTATCCTGTAAAAAGAAAATGAGTGTTATAAATGTAATGAAATGATGTTTCCAATAAAGTTATCATATCTAATATTGTTATATTATTGAGGCTAACATGTTAAGAGATCATCATATAGTCAGAAATATTCTTGAAGCTGTTTCAGTCTAATGCTAGTAATCATGATAAACAGTAAGGTTTTTGGATTTCCATTAATCATGATAGCAAAGTGTTAAAATTTGAATTGAATTATTAGGTCAGACAAATTGTTAAATCTAAAGAAAAAGCAACTGAATAAAATATTATTAGGTGCTGATTTTGAAAAAAAAAGTTTATTTTTTATGAAAGATCTGAGTTTTGAGAATAGTGAATCACATTCATTGTTAGAAAAGATGATAAGTCTAACTCTATATTCTAAATAAGAAATGAATACCATGTTGTAGATATATTTAAATTATTAGTCAGTTAAAGATTTGTATTTTAATTTAAATATAAAATCTAATATTTCGTTAGCTAGTTGTTGTTTGATAAAATTTTTGTTATAAGAGATTGATATCTAAACATCCAGATATCTTATTGATTCAGAAAGCTTTTTTGTTGGAAAAGTAACATATATATTAAGATAATTATTATAAATGAAGATATTAACCATTGTAGATTCAGATGTTAGAATAAAGAACTTCTTATAATTCATTTTCATAGAATTAAGATCAAAAAGGATTGAGCCAGATCAAAAATCAATATAAGTTATTCAACACTATTAGAAATCTAAATTATATCATCTATATATACTGAATTAGGAATTGAAACAGGAAGTTTATTAGTATCATTTTTTGTGATGTCTGATTTTCATTTAATATTTATGTTACAGTAGCGGTCATAAGTATCTGACTACTCGAGATCGTCCAAATTTATTATATAACTACCCCTTAAATTTTCCAGAAATATAATATAACACAATACATGATCACCTGTAAATTTATGTGTTGATGATACAAAAAAAAAATTTAGATCATCATCAAACTTTCGCTTGAAAAATAGAACTTTCTTTAGAGAAACAATATAAAATTATCTTTTTACGTGAACACCCAGCTGGTCCAAAGTTTAGTTTTGGATTTATTGCTAAACAGGTACGTTGTAGTAAGTCT